CACCGAAAGTTTCGAGAACTTGACAAATTTCCTTCAGGGATGAGCGAGGAAAGACGTTCCTCCTGGTAGGGAAGCGGAAGTTCCGGAACCATGGAGCAGTGCGCTCAAGCTTCATCCCTGCGAAGCCCCCCTTGAAAAATCCTGGTGGAATGGGTTCGTGATGACAATTCATGACGATGGGGAAACGCTGCATGTGTATTACGATTTTTCGACTCAAGACAGGGAATATGTTTCGATCATATCACAGCGCGTCATCGCTCGTCTAAAAATTAGATAAGGTGTCTTTGATTCTCGTCGCACCTCTGATACAGAAGTCCCATGCACGTAAGCTTGAATAGTAACTCCCCGAGAGAGAGGTGCTCGGGCTCGTGGAAGACGGTTCGGTCGCGTCCAACATAGGGATTGGTCGTGATTCTATTCACTAAGCTCGAAATATGGAATAGGAGGTTCCATGCGCCGAATTGAAGAGCTAGGTAATTCATTCCCAAAAGCTGCTCGTGGAGTTCGAGAGGCTCCCTAGCGTAATTCTTGCAAGGTCATTCAGATCGCGACTGAAGAGACGGCTTTCATGTCGGCTCACTCTGCCGCTTCCCTCCAACCTTTTCTTAGTTCCATCGCCGGAATCGAAGCTCCCCTCGGCACGCAGACAGATGTATATCATGCATATGATCGAACATCTAAGCGAACCGTGCGCGCGCGACTGTGCGTGCCCACATGCAGCGTACGAGTCCCTCGGGCGGAAAATAGCGATCGGAGATGATTCGATTTCCCGGCACATGCGGCAGACATGAATCAAGTTTCTTAGCTACGACAACGCTCTGCTCTACTTCGACAACTGAATGATACGACGTCTTCCCGGAGGCTCATCGAGAATCGAGAAGCGACCAAGCTAGACCATATAATCACTTCATTGCGTAGTAAGTGGTTCCAGGCGTGTCCCACCCATGAATTCGACTGGCTCGGCGAAAGGCCCCACGTCCTGAGCGAAATTGCATCTTGAGGGAAGCCGCTTAAGCTTCGGGGAGGTTGAACGTGTGTGCCCAGATTCGATCGTTACGACACTAAAACTCGGCAAGCCTTGATCGATGACGGACAATCAGTGGATGGACAATCAGCTGACTGTGGAGGATTGGAAGTTTATTTAGAGGCGCTGATCTCTCATCCCGAGTTGCGACAGGTCCGTTTCTCGGGTTCGATCGATTCTCGAGTCTCAGAAAGCTGAGCGTCTCCCGAAGATTGTTGTTGAGCTCCACCGGCGGAATTTTCGTGGTGGGAGATGTTGGCTTCTAGAAATTCCACGGGACACCTATTCATTGTACACGAGGCCATGCATTATCTCGGATGGTGGGATTCTCAGAAACAGTCATAATCTTCTGGGTGTGAAGAAGGAGGCGAAACTCGAGTGCAGGGGTCTCCCTCAGAAACTTCGACGGCTTAAAGTGACTCTTCAACCACTAAGGAAATTGGGCGCTACCAATGCCGGTGATCCACTTATGGTGTATTCTCCCCTCGAGGAGCAGGGATTCCATTCCACCCCACGAATTTCCACGGAAACTCGATTTGATTCATGGGCATCGTTATTGGGAGCCTCGTCACTCGTCGTCAAGATACGGATGGAATCGGTTCAGAGGAACTATCTCTCTCGGCGAGCCAGCCAAAGTCCAACTGAACGAATCGTAGAAAAAACTCCCGGAAAGCTTCATTGATCCGATTGAACATCCCGGTTGAGAGGCGAACGCCTCCCGCCGAAGTCAACGAACTAGCATGTACGAATCAAGAGGAAATGACGTCCATCTGATCCCTCCGATGCTGTGCACTCGGTCAACTGGTAGAGGTTGCTTCGTGCTGCTATTCCTCAATCAGACTTTTGCGATTGTGTCCGAACACAGTGGCGGCTGCAGCCTCATCGCAAATGACGTCGGCGCTGTGCAGACGACGACACGATTAGTACGCTCGATTATCCGGAGACGACTTTCCTTCGGCTTCTGGTCGCTCGTTCTTGGTGACGACCGGCCCTGCTGGTGCTTTTCCCGTTGAAAACGCGGCCGTTGCTTTTTGGGAGAATAGGCTCCGTATGCGAATAGCGGCCAGGGACCTCAATCAGGACAAACTTCCGGGAACATTGACTCGACGGCGGACGCATCCACGCCGATGTCAGACGTTTGCGTCTTATTGCAGTGTAACAATGCATCATTGTGCTGCTGCAGACTTCTCCGGTGAGAACCTCAGGGCTTCGATGTGCGAGCTATCGCGCAACGATACTTGAAGACGGAGCGTACGGGCACGCGAGGGCGATTGAGACATCTTACCCCGACGGCCCGTCGGTAATGATCGGCCATTGCAATTTATCAGTCAATCTTAGAAGAAGTCGATTCGGGCTGATTGACGCATATGTGTATTCGTTGCGATACCGGGCTCTCGCGGATTCCACCCTCCACTCGAGGTGGAATAAGGCAACGTGGATTCTCCGAAGAAACAAGAGGGAGTCGTTAGTCACAATCAGATGCGCGAAAAAGCATGCGACTCCGATCGCGTATTTCAGTCACGTAAGAGCACAACCGAACGACTTTTTTCCGATTCAGGAGAGCCGAAGGAGTCTTCGGAGCCTGGGAGGAATCTTACGAATATTTGCGAGGCGAGCGCTGATCCGCTTGACGGTGAGCTCCTCTGATTTGTCGCTCCGACGCTCGTGTCGTCCTCGTGCTCCACGAAGAGGAATCCGCGAGAGCAACCGGCGCGTCCACAAAGCTCGATGTCGCGGGTTTCGACATTCATTCCTTTTTAATGTTTTTTTATCTCTCCACTCAATCCTGGAGGCCCGGGTCATACTACTTCTCGAGTCGATCACTCGCTCAATCCTTCGTTTCGCCAGAGGTCTCAAACATCGTCAGGCCAGCAAAATCGTTGTGAGTACAGAACCTGGGCGCCTCCGTCTCACACAGTCGCATCGGGCGGTACGCGCAGTAGGTATTCACTTGAAATCGACGGCTCTTTGCTCGAATTCGATGCCGGCCGACATTCGAAACAAGTCTTGTCAATGCCACCTGCATCTGAGCGTATCGCACTTTCGGTCGGGAGCGATATGTGAACTCGATAACACAGCAACTATGTAGACTCCTCTCTCGCCTGAATGATGCTCGAACCTGAGCGACAGATGGCGATGCAGGGCTCGATCATGTGAACACTAGCTGCTGCATTCGTAGAGCTCGGGAAACGTCGCATACCCACCTCGCGACAGCCGAGAATCGCTGCGGAAATATAAATAGGTCAACCTGCGATTCCACGGTTCGGGAATCAAGAGAAAATCGCAATCGGAGAAGTTGCGGATGCTTCCGAGTTGGTGTTCAGGGTCATGGAGTCGTACCTACGAATGGAATCGGAGGCCGAACGGAGCAGCGCCAATGAACGACGGCGTCTGCCTCCGAAAAAGTCACGAACGATTCCTTCATTGAGGGGAGCTCTTGGCCTGCTCTCTCTGGAGTTCGGAGATACAGCTCTGCTCTTCCAGGTCTCCGATCGGTGAATCCTGCAAGAGAGTTTTCCAGCGCGAATGCTCCATCAAGCCGGATGAGCGGATGACTGGCTCCGAGCAAGAGCCGCAAGAACTTGTGATGAGTCGGGGCTCTCAAATCTTTCTACCGATTCCTCGTCCCGGAGAACGATTCCAGACGTGTCCATTGTCCTCGACTCAAACGTGGTCGTCCGAAAAAGCTGTGAGATGACTCCGATGTTCCGACGGAGGCAAACTCCGAAATATTCGAGTCCGGCTCCCGATGTTTCCTCAAGTCTCTCTTATGGAAGTTACGACGTTTCCGGAAGACTAGCTAACTCATATGCTAATCTGAGGAGATCTTCAAGGGCTGCTCACCATTCAAAGTTTATTTGACCCCATGCTTGTCCGCTCGAGCGGTCTCCATTACTCCGAATCCTTGAGCGAGAGAGGTTTCCGGTCCCTCCCCAACGCGGAAACAAGAAGAATTTTCAGCAGACCTCCTCTGGACGAACTCAGGGCTTGTTCAACTCTCAGCCGGAAGACTTTGAGCTGGACCTGACGTCTCAGGAGCACAATTTTGCGGAATGGTTGGTGTGCATCCGCCTCTCGCGAGAGAAACCGAAGGAACGAAACGCGGTGTCAAAATCGTTCAAAAACTTCACATCGCCCCCCGGGTGACGTCGTTCAATCCATACTATTCATCGATCATCGACCAGCACTTCCTCAAATTCGAGGATTCATCGCACAAATGGCTGCTATAGGACTCACCCGGCCCGTATTCCACCTGTGTCAGAGCCTGATCGAAACCATGCGGCTTAGGTTCACACACATATTATGTACAAAGGGCGCCTTTGACCCTTGTCCTTGATCGCCGTCGACTCTGTGCCATCGACCTACGAATTCCAGGAGCACCACTAACCTAATATTGCGAAATCGAGTAGCGGCCATTATCGAGACAATACAACACTAACGCAGCATCGAGAACGATCTGTCGCACGGGCCTAATGTATATGTATGGGCGGATGAACCGAGTACGTTACACTGTTCGGAATAATCGTTTCCGAACGCAACAACCCGATACAATGATTGCGGGGAATGCTCGCGAGCAGAACATATCGTACTTTCTCGATCGGGTCGAGAAGTACGATCGTGCCGTCCTGTAATCCATGCGGGAATCATTCGTCTGGGCGGCGCAACCAATGATCGGTCCTATCGAATTTCTCATGGATGCCTGAACGAAGTCCCATTCAGCCAATGAGCTAGATTAATGATGGTAGGTCCCCATAGAGATCGTTCCTCGTTCACCCTGCTGTAGGTCTCACCTCGCCAACGTTTCTTTTTTGCAGGCCTTCCAACCAAGTTCACGAGGGTCGTCTTCGGTATCTGAGCCACAACACGAAGGTCTGAAGGGAATTTCAGATCTACTCGTTCCGTCAGGCCAGGATTCACAACCGTCCATCCCATTGATTCTTTTCCAGCAGAATCTCTACTCTAGTAAGACCTCGCAATGGATCTCAACGTTTCTCTGAGTGCTTTCGTGAACGGTGAGTCACGACTTATAGTGAAATCCGGGGGAAAAAAATTCGAGCCATAACTTCGGGAAAACGTCAGATCTGGATCCAACTTCGGAGGGAGGTTTTCGGACATCCCCGATAAGGAAATTAAGTATCAGCAAGACCTCCTGGCGGTGGGGTCTCCCAAGTGGCCCATGTTGGTTCTGCTACCTTCTTTCGGGGCTGCGAATCATTTTTGATGATGATGTAGAATTTCGGCTACAATCGAGATTTATTTTCATTCTGAGTTGTCTCATGCGACGATAGTATCATTCTTGCCGGCGTGCCACGGGCGTGTTTTCCTGGATCCGAATCGGGACGGCAAGAAGACGCTTGACTCGACTTCTTGCCTCTATTGACGCAGGCGAGCTTAGTTCGAGAGCTGAGTCGGCAAGTCGTGCAAGCTTGTGGACACAATCTTTGGAGATCGCTGCAAACTGCCTGCATTCATGCAGACTTGCATCCGTACCTTCGCAGGTGGTCTCATCGCAGGGTGGTACGAAGTCTTTGCCGGGTTTCGCCCTTACCGCCCCTTTTCATTGAGCGGGAAGGGTCGTCTTCTACGAATGCCGCTCTCATAATCGTCAGGGGGCGCTACCATGAAGCGGAGGCTGAAGCCGAGAATCACTGCCGCACATTTGAGGGAAGTGGACACCGTTGAAGCCACTTCGTCTGACACGACGCAGTCGATGCACGTCTGCTCTTTACACGTACATGTACATACCTTGCTTCCATTGCTTCCCTATCTAGCTCAGGTAACCGGATTAGCATTGACAAACTCTCAATCGGAACCGTTTTCGGATACATGAGCTGAATCTTGTCGAACTGAGGGAGCGTGGGTCGAATGCAGCTTGCCGACGGGATTTCTGCCGGACACCCCGAGGGTAATCGAGCTGAGCTGCAATCGGTACTCCGTGACTTCAGAACTCAGCGCCGCAACCGGATGGTCAGAAAAGCAGAGCCAAGGGACTGTCTCCGACTGAGTTAGCAAACTACCTAATGGAATGGACACCGCCCATAAGTCGCGAGTCCCTTAATTGTTCGCCTCGGGGTGCCTCCCGCGTAAGATCCACTTAATCTCCGAGATGTCACAATCGATGGTTCGAGGCTTTATTCAGCTGTAGGATCTTTCTATATGATTTTTTGCAAAAACTTATCATTGAGAGCCTCATTTTGATCGGGGGTCTCCCAAGTCGTGTTCCAGAGTTAATCTCCAAGAGCGCTCAGCCCCGGAGCCGTTCTCCGATTTTTTGATAGTTCACATTCGAGCCAGGATTGGAGCTGTTTTTTCCACGCCTCTGGAATTTTCCTCGCATCCACCGCGCTTAATCAAGCAGTCGAGGCTTCATGAGACCTGTTAAGGAGTCACTGACCGGCCGCCGCTCGACCCATGGGGGCTTGAAATGGGGAACTTTATGACGACGGTCGTTTACGATCCACAAGCTTAGAGATTCGATATTCGAATCCTTTCGACCTCGCTGCTCGCTACCCTATCACAGCGATAGAGACTTCCATTCACTCCGATATACATACCTGCGTATGTATACGTACGCACAGACTCGAACCCGGTCTCTTGATCGGCCCGGCAATACTCCCGGTCAGACCTATTCTCTCTCCCCATGTAGCTTGTTAGGATTATACTACCGCACTATACTCACATCACATGAATAGTGAAGGCTGCGGGATGAGCAACTCTGCACCGCCGGAATGAACCATGTGATGGGTTGTAATATTACATGGGTGACACCAACTCAGAGCTCGAGCCCTCTTTATGCGGGATACATTTTCCTAGGAGGTTCATTGGATGTAGACTGTGCATAGTCATTCACGAGGAAATGAGACGTACCCTTGCGCACAGAGCTTAGAGGGAAGCCAGTCCATGCACGGAGACAACCAATCCAGAATGCGTGTGGAGCTGTCCCGCATTGGTCGCATGTCTCTCGGTGACGAGAGTCCTCATAGGAAAGCTCTCCCGACATCGCTGGAGTCTTCTTGTGACAGAAGCTGCGAGAAATGAAATACCGATTGAGTAGGTACGAAGCATGGAAGTATGGTAGCTATCAACTCGCTCGCCAAACTGAGTCGGTCCATCGGAAGCTTAGGGAGTGGAGCTCAACTCTTCCTGCCTGTCCCCGGCAGCGCGGCTATGGCGATCGCCACGAGCGGCAAAACCTGCAGAAATATACCAGACTTCGCTACTCTGACTCGAGCAACTATGTGTACGGTCGGCTATGGCTAGTGATGATTCGCTTTGAAGGAACGAATCTTGATATCAGGATTCCGCCTCCCCGCGGGAAATTCTCTCGGCTGTACGGGGCTGATCCGAAACCGCTCGCCTCCATCGATGGCGAAAATTGCAACGTACGCGTGTGGCTTCGATCGCGAACTGACCACTCTTCGAAGTTGGGGAGAGTCAGCGAGTTTTGATCGTTTCATCCGTCCCTCTTATCGAAGGATTGTGAGCGTGACTGATGCGACATTCAAATGAGATAAGTAGAATGGGAGACGACTTCCATCCTCCTTGGGTAATTTGTCTGTGATACCATTCTCTACATTCGCGCAAGACAGCGATATCGAATGTCCAACATTTGCTCACTGACTCCGCAGGTCTCAAGGAGCGCGGTGCTTTGGAGCTCGGGAAGAAATCGGCGAGATCCTCGCTGTGCGGAAACTGCCGATTCAATTATCGAGGAACGGATATTTCCAGCTCCAATGAGGTCGCTTCACTTATGAAGTCCTTCAAGATGTGGATTCGCGTTCGTGGAACCCACGAGCTGTATCGTGTCGGAAATTCTTATGCGTACTTCTCTTGTTGCGTGTATCGGTCCGTGATGCTAGTTTCTCCGATGGACGGCGAACGACAAGCCGACGCGGCGTATCGAAAGAGGAAGATTTCGTGGATTCTCCCCGTCGCTTCGGAGCCACCGTTTTGAGATGACATCGAAAACTTGTGTGAGCCAAGTCACGATGACAGATGACTGTAATGAGGAGCCGATTACAATGTCTCGAAATCTCGTGCCCATGGCGATCCATACCCGGAATTCGGCTCCCTTCGAGACCTCTCCTGTTCGAACGACGACGGCTTCTCTCTGCGTCTTCGGGATCGCCGTCCGACGAGACATGATTCGAATTGTCATTGAAGGCCGACCCGTAGCGACTGCCCTACGATGCTTTCATAAAACCCCTTTTCAGGGGAGGAATGGTCGCGAGGGGCAACGGCCCAAATTCCAAAGTAAAGCGAGAGGCATCCCGAATGCGTTTGCTCGATTTCCGGTCATCCATTCAATTTTTTCATGTCGCAAACACCATCTCAATCCAGCCAAATCGTGATGGGAAGAATGGAATGAGGAAGATCGAAACGCCGCGCCGCTAGAGAACGTGTATTCGCAAACATGGGTGAACATAATCCTCGGTTCCGGCCTAGGACCCGACAATACCCGGGATTCAAACGCCGTCACGGATTCGGATTGACTGTCTCTCCATTCTCCGTGAACTGAAAAGAGCGCCATGACATGGTTCAAGGATCAGCGATCGCTTAGAGCGTTCGGCATCGGCTCGTTTAGGATAAGAACGGTCTCTCAGACGGACCCGTCTGCGAGTGCACTGGAGGAAAGGTCGATCGAGCGAACATTCGGAATCCCGACGTGAGGGGAGAACCACCTGGCCCCCCCGACGAGAAAGAGGGGCAGGACTCAACGAGAATGCTAGAATTCTTAGAATGATCCCTCGTGAGTCGTGAGGCGCTCATGAGTCCAAAAATCCCCATATTGTGCTTCGGCGACCTGTCCCCAGGGACGAGGCTCGCCGATGCCACGTTGTCCTCAGGAGAATATCCTCTCCGACTTTTGGGACGTTTTCCGCTTGCGCTACTGCGATCGATCCCCGATTCTGCGATCTAAGCTCCGGGGGTGAGCTGCTGTCCGCTTTGGGCAGGGAGTCCGTGACCCGGGAACGAAGACAAAGGTCGTAAAATAAACAAGATCGACGCACCTCTGGTTTGCTCTCGAGCTTAGCCGGCAAGCAGGTACTTCTCTATGCAACCGGTGACGCAGCTTTCGACCCGAGGATTTTCTGTCCCTGGATAGATATCATGCTTCAAATCGGATTGTGAGGAATACAGAAACACAACCGCATCTTCACCCTAGAGTCATGAATCACTCGTAATCTCGATCTTAGCGTCTGACAATCTGTATTACATCCTTCCGGACTTCCTGACCCAACATCGCGGACGGAATCACGGCATCTCGCGCATCGCGGTAAACATATTGCTCGAGCTTCGCATCAATTCCAATTATTACGCATGCAACCTTGTAGCTCTATCCGGGAGTCTCATCTCGACGTCCAGAATCTGTGATAGAAACGAAAATCACGAGGTGAAGCCGGAGAAGAAGGAGATCAGTTATTACAATCAGTATCGACGAGTACGTAATCGGTGGTCACTCTTGGGTGAGGGCTTCCGAGAGCTACTCTTTCAGGCAAGCCTCAAATCGTTCTACGAGCTCATGGATGGCGGGGACACAGGACAGGAAGAATGACCCGTGTTTCGCAAAACTTGACACAAGCCGGTGGGTTCGGAACCCGCTTCTGATTCTCGGTCCCCAGGACATCTATGAACTCCATGATCCGGCTCGCGATGCCCCCTTCCGGCAGGGGTCCCCCCAAACTAGAAATGGCGTCGCGGCGCGCAGCCTACCCCAGAGTAGAGTGCGCTTTCTGCGATAGGAGCGGCAACGGTCTTTGAGGCGGAAAGTCGAAGGGACGCGAGTGCCGGTTGAGTGGAATGCTTTTCGATCTGGATACCTTATGGGTGCATAGCCCCTTGGGGGGAAAGAACGTCGACCTCTACCATACCTCATTCATTACTACTGGCTATGAAATTCATCATTTATGATTCGGTTCCAATAGACGGCATGATCGAGACACAGCTGCCAATGTTTCCGATGGAAATGTGGTCACCGGTCCGAAGAAAGCTGGACAGCGGAGCGCGAACAAATCACCACGCGGATGCAGTTCATAGACGCATGCAGTCTGACTCCGGGGTGAGCCATCCGGCGCTATGGACGGTCATCGACGGCCCGAGAATAATTCAGAAAAATCGAGATCTCCCGATGGGATGATATATAGGAGGGGCTTCGGTTGCGAAGGATGGCTACAGATATGAAGATGCCGACATGGGAATCTTGGAAGTTGTGCGATACGCTCCGATTAGAATCTATGAGGAGTATCTGCGGGTTCTTATCCGACTTCTTCATGGAATCCTGAAATCAGGTTCAATTCTTTGGCAGCGCATTTTCACAAACATTTTTAATTCTTCGGAATAATAAACGGGACATTTATATACCACGAGTGTGATTGGTTTCCTTTGGCGGCAGTGAAGAGAGATTGGGGTGCACCCTTTTCGAGCTCAATCAGACGGGCTCTCATTCCTGAGATATCTTGTGGGTCCTCTCGGTCGATTTTATTCGGATCACCAGCGTTAACGATTATAAATCTGCGTGAATCTTCGGCCAAACGTCGCCTGGACCAATTTTCTTCCTTGTATGATATTCCGCTCGATTGGCCTCAAACTCCTCTCGTCTAGGCCTGAATGACCTTCACCGATAGAAAAATAGAGCCACCTCTTATTCGTCGCGAGTTTTTCTCACGTAGAGCTCGGAGACGCGTCCCCGAGTCCTCCATTTATCCGACCGAGATTCTTTCCTCCCATTATAATTTTTTCGCGGATATCGCGAGAATTCCCCGGGCGCCGCTGCGTAAGAGCCCGCGGTGCGTGTCGTAAGCGTTAGAGTATCAGAGAGAGGTCTTACGTACTCCCGTACCCCCGTCGACGGTCTCGACTTTGCTAAGATCCTTCCGTCGCTCCACGGTTCTTTGTGGCTCCTTATTTGTATTGGAAGTCTGCCTTGAATGTGGGTGAAGTTTTTATCGCTGACGGTAATATCCACACAATCAACCACAGAGCTCGTTCTGCCGCCGGTACCTTTCCTCCTGAAGATCTCTGAGATGGATCGACTCATTTAGGAAGCCCTGGCCTAAGTGGGAACCAGGATCAAAGGTTCAGAAATCCAAGGAAATCTGCCTGTGGCTTTCCCATAAAAATAAACTCAAAGATTTTTTTTCAATTTTTCACTCGACCGAGGCCCCGATCGAGGCGAGCTCCCGTTCCTCATCGGAAATGGGAATTCGGGAACAAGCCGGCGCTAGATAGTTTCTGTTCGTGGTCCGCGGGCGGGGCATTCAGTGCATTGGATCTGGTAGGGAATGAATCCTCGAGCACAAAATCATTGTCGTCTGGTTGTGACAGGGGCCATCTGTCCTTCATTTCGAAGAGCTGCGTTCGCGGCAGACTCTGCCCAACGGAAAATCGATAAAATTTTCATCGATTCACGAGAGGAACTCGTGAACGTTGGGAACAATCAAGACTCCCTCTTCCGTTTTCGTCCGCTGGGGCCGTCGTCCGCAGATAAATCTACTTCGTTATACTAACCCGAATCGCTACGAAAGAACTCGAATAATCGTTCCGTTTCCCCCGCAGAGAGTCTTGCGGGCTCCGCTGGATACGATTCAAATGGCATGGACGGTTACGATCTGTTAGGAGGCTTGAACAACACTACCACGGCCGAACCGACTCCGAGAATGTCCCCACGACCTATCGACGACTTCCCCACGTGGTAGGTGACAGTTTTTTTCGGATTTCTGGGAATCGATCACCGATACCCCCTCGAAGGACTCAATTCTTCCTCCGATTTAATTCATTTCACCGATCTCACAGGTACGTTCATCATATACACGGTTACCTGGCGCTCGTCGTTTGTGTATTGGGAATCATCGCCAACATCCTGAACGTCGCGGTCCTGTCCCGGAAAAACATGATCTCTCCAACGAATTGCATTCTGATAGGTCTCGCCGTTGCGGACATGCTCGTCATGTGTTTCTATCTCCCCTATTGCATCATGGAATTCATTACGGAACGAGAGCAAGACTGCCTGATAGACGGCGTAATGGTGGCCTGTCGATCATACCCGGCCGTTCTGTACACTCTGATATGTTCAAACGCAACCGTAGTTTTCCACACGGTGTCCACGTGGCTGACAGTGGCTCTGGCCATTTTTCGGTGGATGGCGGTGGCTTTTCCAAGCCACTCACGGCAGCTGTGCTCCATGAAGCGGGCCAAGATAGCCATCGGGCTGACGTACGTCGGTACGTTCATTGCCTGCGTACCGAACTACTTCTCGTTCACGGTACACGACGTACTCGCGAAAGGCATCGGCTCAGGCGACACAATGGTTTCATATAGAGTCGACTTCGCAGAGCTCAAATACGGCGAAGGGATACGCAAGTTCAACTTCTGGACGTACAGCGTACTTATGAAACTCATCCCATGCCTGGCGTTGACGATTCTATCCACGGCCCTCGTTCGAGCGCTATGCGAAGCGGAGGACAGACGTCGACGTCTCAAGGGACGAGCTCCGAATCCGGATGGGGCGTCGTCCCACAACCAGCGATCCGCCGATCGAACGACGCGGATGCTCTTAGCTGTTCTTCTGTTATTCATCGTGACGGAATTCCCCGCTGGAGTCCTGTCTCTGCTATCGGGCATCGACCCTGACTTCTTCGAAAGTTACGTCAGGGTGGGAGATATATTCGACATCCTGGCTCTGATCAACAGCTCCGTCAACTTCATCCTTTACTGCACAATGAGCCGGCAGTTCCGGAAAACGTTTGCGCTCCTCTTTACGCCGCGATGGCTAAAAAAGTGGGCCCCGGTTATGGCCACTGAGGCCAATGCGACCATAGCTACGACCTGCGTATAGCTAAAGCCCAAGCAAAGGGGGTTCGATGCGCATCAAACTACGACGATGACAATGAGTATTCTCCCTCGAGGGATGAACATTGCTGTCGATGACGTCTCTAATACAGATGCAAAGTTTGGAAAACCAAAAGGAGAGGAGCACGATGACGGCTGTGGCGACGATAGAAGTCTCGCGGATAGGGAACCGAACCGTGATGGAGAGATGCTCGGGGAGATATTCGGGCCATCTGTGGAAACAATCCTCTTATATGAACCTCAATCTCTAACGAAGAGAAGGTGCAGTGTGGGGAAGAGTATGTGAATATTGAGCGGAGTTCGCAAATGTGGACCATTCGGTCGTACTAAATGGGGTTCTCGAGCGATCAGTAAAGCGCGCGGGGGATATCTTCGAAGAAAACTCGGCCGGTGTTCCTATCCCATTCCTACCGAAAAAGTTTTGGACAGCCGCCCTATTTTCGAGAAAAATGGGTGAGGGGATTGAGGAGCGGACAAAGATTATTATTACCTCCTCCCTATAAGGGCGGGAAACTCGAAGAGTATCCTCATTCAGAAAGCCCCCGAACTCTTTGAGAAATGGAAGAATTCCAGAAAGCACGAGCCGAATCGTCCACGGCGAATGAGACGGGGAGTGTTCGTGAAAAGTAATATTAGCTTGTATCATTTCCGAATATGCGCACATGACTTAGATACAATATTTCTAACATGTACTGAAGGCCCTAGGTTGACATCCGCGGATCCTCGACAATGTTCGAGGAACGATAGTTTCGTCGTTCGAGAATATGATGAAAAGCCTTGTTCCGGCAAGCATCAAAGATCTGCCCTGCATCGAAGATCTGATAACTGATACAAACAATAGGAAGCGGTGAAACTGGTGGGAGGGGTTCCCGATCGTGATTATCTCGAGCAGAAGAATCAGGCAACTCGAACCGGAGGAGAGCCGCTCCGACGATCGTGGCGGGGCCAAGATACATACATTCGGCATTTCCGCCAGCCGCTCCGGCTTGATTCGACGGTGCATTCCAACTTCTGTATATCATAGCGGTAGCATCATTCCGATTAATGATAGATTTCGATGAGTCCAATGTTAGGGGGCAATAGGGCAAAGTGCGAAATACTTTTGGGATCGTAGTGGATCGGCGTTATTGGCCACCCTCTCGGGATACGCCTCACCACGATCGTTCCCGTTCTAACGTTTCTCTCGGTTCACGATCTATGGACGCTGACTCCCCTCCTAGCGAGCTGTTTACTTGCTTCGAGAATCCTTAGCAGCAATCCCTTATTTTTCACGCTGCTCCGATTATGTGGAGCCCTCTCCTCTCCTGATCTCTGGCTTCCAGTAGACCACTTGCGAAGAAGACGGGAGGCTCGGCACTACTTGCCCTCTTCTTGTTCGCTTGTTCGTCCCCATTGTCCCATCGAACCGCGACTGTTAGCGAGCGCGCGAAAGAATGGAAGAAAGGTGTACATAGACACGGAGAGCCGCTAAAGCTCAGAAAAGACTGACGAGATATCTTGGAGTGAGTGCGGGCTTCATCCAGGGTGAAATAATGACTGAAGTCAATCGACGTTAAATGAAGTCAGGGGAATAGATGAGGTACTTAGAACCGCTGCATTTTCGAAGAGATATTATCAAGGGGAGTCTGTGCAGGATGGATGATTCGAGCCTATAAAATTCGACTAAGAAAACACGGAAAGTCGATTCAGGTAATGTAAATATGTTTTTTAAGGGACCGGAAGAGGAATGCCCTAGAGGATTTTCAGAATGTTTCGTGAAAGCGGATGATTTTTATGGTGTCGTGTAGCGGATCGATTCTCAAGTGGTGATCTGAGGATAGCTTCTATGAAATATTTGAGGGGGACCCGGGAGGACGATATCAAAGCTGAGTGAGGGTCAGGGGCCCTTCCGAAGTATACTCGCGTCTGTTGATGGAGACTCTCAAACAGAAGAAATATGAAGAATCAGAAGAAATGTATTCAATCACAGATCATGTTTGGAAGAGGTATATTGTATATGATCGCGTTTGATCTCAAGTCGCAATCATCTTCGAGGTTTCGGGAGGAAGAGGGAAGGCGAGTCCAAAGTGTGATATACGCCCATGCAGAGGGTGCATCTGAGGGTTTTTCGTTGATTCCCTCCATTGAGCACGTTCCCGGAATAATAGTTTCCTGAGGATCGAACTGATGAGGTTGGAGACTGAATTCTCCGACGGCCCCCATCATGATTGTGGGAACTTCAGTCTCACACTGGAGATTCGCAGAGCTTATTTACGGTGTTCTGTATATCATTATAGTTTATAGTTTATAACCCCATAATTATTATGTTGGATCATTCATCGTAAGGTGTCTTCGTCATTATGATCATTCTCGGGGCAACCTGCGCGTCAGGGACCGCGGATTCTATATATCTTCTGACGGTGGTATACACATCCTCTCTTGCGCAAGGATCCTCCGCTACGTTCTCTCAAGCATGCTGTGCGGTGGATCGCTCTCCTCTGACTGAGCATGCTTTCGCGAACGTAGCTACGTGGAATCTCCGAAGATTCACCGATGACTGATAATAATTGAGAGCACGTGGGCAATCCTATACGGAGCGCTCCTGTAGTGGAGGGTGCGCTGCTATCAGAGTGGCTACCAGAGGTCGGTCGAGCTCTTATTGTGCCTTTCTGCTCGTGAACGAAGGGCGCGTTATAGTCGCATCTCGTTCGTCGCGGCGGACAAATCATCGCTTCTCGAAGCGGGTTGTCAGGAAAATTGACAGAATGTTTCTCTCGTGTGGAACGATGTAACGGATGGGGTCCGCCAGGGGACGTAGCGGAGCATCCATTGGCGATCTACACTATTCGCTCAGGAAAGTAAAAATCTTACAGGAGAGCGTGGCTGATCGAGCGTCGCGTTCGGTTGATCGCGCGATCTCCCATGCTGAAGTCGTCCTCTCGATTTGTGCGATCCTCGGCTCGTTGGAGGAGATGACCGAGCCTGAATGGATTTCCTCCTATTCGAATGCAATAAGGGCTAAACACTCGAGCAGCGGCCCGAAGGCGCATCTGAACACGATTTCATCGATATGAGGATCCCGTGGTCATCGAGCTGTTTCATGTCAGACGGACTACGGGTAAAAGAATCCACTCCGTAGATGCTTTCTTCACAAAAACGCACAAAAACAGGACGATGAAGGGAAGCAGTGGAGTCGGAGCAAGAAGTGAGGCCGCGTAATTTGCATGAAGCCAAAGCGACAATAGTGACCCGGAGTGGTACGATCACGTGATTGAACAACTTTTTCTCACGGAAGGTATTTCTAAAGTTTCTTGACTGAGTTTCCATCGGGCGTCTGAACATCGGTCGTTTCTCGAAGAACCAACGTGTATGATGAACGTAGGGGAACTTTCGATGTCGGATGAGGCCTGATATTTCTGAAAAAGCTGATGGCAGAAAATCTTGCTCGGACAATGTCAATCGATGTGTCGGAGTTTTTTCTCCCCGGTGGAGCTCAACAAAAAAATTATGAATTTCAAAGAATGAGATCAGTCTGAGCTCCAATATCTCCTTGAAAGTATCAATTTCTGACTTCCATTCCGGATACGACAAAATGACAGGTTTACAGAATTCTTATGAAAACATGCAAAAATAACAACAGAGCCGCAGTAGGTGGACGAGAAGCACAGGTGAGCGGAAACTTCCTGTTCCAGAGCATGAGACAGCCGAGAGCTCCGGAGCGTCGTCGGCCGAAAATCCTGCATGTGTAACCAGAGCCACGGCAGGGCCTTCGCATACGCAAGCGCAACTGACGCGACCGACAGATTGGCTGGTTTGACGTTCGCGGATTTTTCTATGAATCCCGCCTGGATAAAATACGGTATGACTTGAGGTTCCTTCCAGAGGTTCGTAACTCACTCAATGAATCGCGTCAGTTATGCTCCGAGTGCATTGCGAGGTGGAGTCTACAAATGTAAAAAAATATATATTCTTCAACAGTAGATATTCGAAAGATGTAGTCATTACGGTAACCTCATGTACAGTGAGCTCCCCAGTGCCGGGTGGGACTAATCATGGGTCGGATGGGATGACGAAGTCTATGCTGCCATTTCTTTCACAATGCCGTTTCTTTCAATTTCATTAGTGTCATCCGATAAAGGGGATAGGGTTTCTTCCTTCAAACTCGAATAGACAACTTGGGAAGCCTTCGCGACGAAACGGCTGCTTACCTCGCTCGGGACTCGGAGATGAACGGGTGTAAAAATATTTTGTCCCTTGCAAGCGACTAATGAATCAATCGAGCTGCCGTCTCATATTGATGTAGGTACGTCGTCGGGCGATCCTGAGACGCCTGCGGGGGTTGACCGGTGGAAAGAGTCCTACCTCGATACTATGTGAACTAATGTCAACAAAACTGCGGGCTGTGGTCGGGAAGCGATACTTCTGGCGAATCTTTGTCCGGGACAACATCACATTGCCATGCGATATCTTGCTCCTGGCTCCGAAATACGGGCCCGGTGCGAACCTGAACAGCGCCTCAATAATTCTGTGCTGTAATCGGTATGTCATACTTTCGACTAGTCCTCCCCTCGCGAAAATCGCTGTCGCTGGAGTGCGCCGTGGTATTGAAGCTTGGCGAAATTCGTTTGATTTGAGAGTTTTAAACGAACGCGAGTGGGGGTCGTGAAGCGTTTATCCGGTCGCAACATCCGCGGAATCGACATAATATGTATTAAGTGATTGAATGCCTTTATATGCTGTTAGAGGTTTTAACTTAAACTAACTGTTCTGAATTCTTGACGAGTGCCAAAATCCTACATGAATAAAATACTCTAAATACTGTTTAGCCCGTGTTGTCAATCTAATACACTTCGAAGGACTCGGAGAGTTCTCCATGAGTTTTGGGTTTGTTGCTCTGCCCACCAAGATGAGAGCAGCGATCCAGCAGTCTCAGCTTGCGGAGCCTATCCTGAATCCGCTCTGAGGCGCCAGAAGTGAACCATAAAGTGGAGCGGTTCTCGCCTGAGCTTCGTGAAATCTATCGGTTCCCGAATTTTATTATTACTCTTATGAATTCTCCTGGATGACACAGAAGCCACATGTCTCCAAAAATAATTTTTCTTCATTAATCGGAGCTTGTCGATTCCTCACAGCGGTTCGAATACGCCATGTTGCCTCCATTTCTCTATCAGCTCAGGGAACTCGGGTTCTATGATCCGCTTGATCTTCGCTTCCAAGCAAGCATTCATTTCGGGAGTCAAGAGATTTCTCCAATCATTTACAGCTCCCTTCCGCAGGTGCGAATCAAATTTGAGCGCAGAGGTTGAGCCACTTGCCGTCTTAACTTCGTTAGATTCTGCGAAGGCTCGCAGACCTGGGGAATCAAAATAAAGAAGTGTGTTTGCAGAGCAACTCAACACCACGCTGAGAAAGGCCCGAGCGGACTTGCAGGAGATTCTCGACTGAGATCAAAAAACAAAGTTCCTAAATCGAGCGAGAACTGACCTTCAGGCAGGCTGGGATCGTCTTTGTTCAGAGCGAAGTCCTTCAGTCCTTCCTTCATGGTTTTGATTGAACTTCTCTCCAGAACTTTTTCGAGAAGTCCCTGAGTCTTCAGTTTTGCCTCGAGATCGTTTCCGAGGAATCGACCTAGTTTGAGAATTTCTTCACTGCCCTTCTTCTTGACGTCTTCGAAATAAATGAAATGAATGTTTTCTCTGCCTCGCTGTCGGAGCCATGAACAAACGTGATCGAAGTAGTCGCCGAAATCTGTCTGTCCCTTCATGAAGAGATCGAAGAACTCGGCGAAGGTACCGTCAGCGAATTGGTAGCCTGGATACACCTGCGAAGGTCAATAATTGCTTCCGGATCATTCTGATGACGCAATAATCTTTTACCCCTCGATCATCGTCGGAGTTCAGTCAGAGCGTTCAACTCTCATCGTTGGGTGCGTCTCCGGAAAGCAGCGTGGTCACAACCGGAACTCTCGCATGAACATCGAGATTACAGGGCCGGGAGATACCCTGGCTTTCCTTTTCGTCTCCTCTAGATATCTTTCCTGCTCGAGTGCTGCATCTGGGCTGGGGAACACGCTTCGATCGACGCTCTCCGACGGCCCCACGTTCGTTCCCCTTGATTCTGTCCCCTCGAAAACCGCCCGAGAAAGCCATCATGGCTTGTTGAGCGGGTTGGCTAACGACCACAAAAACATCCGATGCTCCCCGGGAGACCTCCGTGTTCGATTGATCTCTTTAGGATAGCCACCGGCCCAGTAAATGTCGTCGAGCGCACAGAAACGTGAGAAGGATGCGGGCTGCGTTTCGTGCATGCCGAGATCGAGTGTTCGGAGGAAGCGAGTCATGAACCGAAGTCAAATCCGCCGCTTGACGTGCGGTGATGGATTACAACTGCTCCTTAAGATCATCTGGCTCACAACCTTGGGAGTGATCTAGAAAATTCATAGGTATTTGACTCACAGCGGCTCACACAGTCGAGAGCACAACGCGAACGGGTTTCCAGAGGAAAGAAGTCACAAATACCGTCGACCGTTACATTTTTCCCAATATCAGTTCGGAACGAACTCCGATTATAATAATTGGCGTGCGAGTTGAGAAACAAGAAGCCATGAGATCATGGAATCGGGAATCCAAGAATTCTAGATAACCGAATTCTCGGAGTTTTCATTAGAGGGAAAGGGTCAGCAGAGCATTTAATGTGGTAGATAATTCCGAGAAAGAGAACACGGTCGAGGAGCTCGGAACTTCTGCTGACCCGGGCCTTGAAAGGAAAAACCCCGGGAGCGGAGCATACCTGTGACGTGTGATAGAAGAACGAGACGACGCAGTCTTTCGGATTCCTGATCGCGTAGATGTATTTTGCGTGTGGTGAATAAGGCATTCTGTCGAACGGAAGATGACTCTTGACCGCCCCGGGTTTTTTCATCTGCGCAATGCATTCGGGTCCGATCATCTCCAAGAACGGGGTGTCAATCAGTCGTTTGAGTTGATTCTCCGGTGGATTTCCATCATTATAAATTAGATAACAAATTTCCTGCGGAAACAAAAACCCTTCCGTTTTTCACGCGCTGTCATTAGCCATTCGTTACGCAACGTCCACGATCGGACGACAGCGAGTGATCAGTGGGCAGATTCCTGACCAAGCAAGCGGATCCAGACGCCCGTGTAAGAACTAGCTATTGATACTGTGCTCGGTCATCTGACGTTTGCGTTCGATGTCCCTTATGCTTCATTGATCTCGATTCTCCAGAAATCTTCAGGCAGCGCGTATAACGACAAAACGTTCCCCGAAGCCTTGCTCATCTGGGTGTCAGTTTTCGTCGCTTGGCTTGCGCCGCGTAGTCGTCGCAAAACTTTCTCCCTCCTTGCGCACGCTCTAGCGCGTTGCGGCAAATGCTCGTCGGAGATCAAATATACATATGGTAGCTCAGGGTTGGGCGGCGCTCTAGGCTGAGATATTTCTCTCTGCTGAATTACGATACCTGTAACCAGGTGGTGCCGCATTTCGGGTACGTGACAATAAAAACATCGTCCGGAGTAGGTTTGTACTGCACCGCACCGCGGAATCGATCGACTCCGAATGGCTCACTTAATCGAAAGCCGTCGATTTCGTAATACAGCGGTCTTTTCGAGACGAGAGTTCTCTGACCTTCGCTGCTCGGAGTAAGACAAGCTCCAATCTGAGAAGCCGCCATAAGACTACGGCAAAGTTCCTCCTGCGGTGCTTTGCCGTTGGATCCGGAATAAGAGCAGTAATTGGCAAGATCGACCCTGCGACAATGTGGCCAGTCGTAACTGATGTCGCGGCCGCTGGCGGCGGCGGCTGCTGCTGCGAAAACAATTGATCGTCGCGGCGTTTGGAGAGAAGAAACTCCACGGGCGAGGGTGCGGAGCGCTTGACAGTGGCTGTTAACCGATCAACAATTTGATGAGTGAGCGTCTAAGTTATGCTGATGATGACTTCCTTCAGGGACAGAACATCTATCCACCGAGCGATTTCGCGGGCTAACTCACACCAGTGTGCTTTTCAGGGAGCGATACCGCGACATCTATATCACACTGAAGATAATAAACAGACTGAGAACAAACGAATTCGTGAAGCTCCCGCCTGAGCGTTCGGGAAGCGGATCCGCTAAAGGATGAGACATGGCCTCGGCCACTGGATCATGACGAGATCAGCTGTTGGAGCTGGCCGGAAGGGAGGGGGAAGACTCGAGAATGTGGAATGATGCGGTGAATGATCCGAGACGCGGATCTGATGTCGGAAGCCTGCGGGAAGTATTCGCCAAAGACAATCTTCCATGCTGCCACTTCGTTCTTCGTAATCAAGGAAAGTGAGGTTTCTCGATCACGCCGTTTATCTCAATCTGTGACGAGCATCCGATACACAAGTGTCGTAACAGTGCCGACACTCCTCCCTCGGATTCGCTCATTATCATTCGAAGATCATGCTCCGGATGGCATTCGATTAGAGAATCGTCTGAGAAAAGTAAAATCTTACTCGATAAAGGAGAGGAAGTCCAAAGATAAAGCTTCCTTCGTCGTAGAGTATTCTGGACGGGGAGACGAGATAAACCTGCCCTGAAAAGTGAAATTCCAGCCAAGAAGTGAGAATAAAGAGATTAACTACGCTCTGTAACGGGACTTCGCACTGCAAGCGGTGATCTTAAGATCCTTCTTCGTATTTAGATTCGATGAATGTCGGTGGGACAAAAAATCTGTTCGAACTCTCTCCAGGTAGCGTGTGGATCGACGGATCAGGGCGCGGAACCTGACGCCAGAATTTGTTGTCGCGCCTGCCCACAGATATCCGAAATCGCACGTGATATGATGATGCTTCGGTCTTCGGTGCAATAACACCAGAATTTCAGCCGCGGGGTCGTTCACGCGGGATGTCGGAAAGAGCATTCGTCTTCTGATCAATGAAACTTCCTCACCCCGCAGCTTGCGACAACCTTTCGCAACTTTTGGTCAGATCGTCTGAACCAGATATCGGAACTACTCCTCGGTTTCATCTCGTTTAGGTTCTGGTGTCTCATTGACGTCCTCGCTGTCTTCGCGAGAGCGGCAGGCTCGAGAACAGCGAGAGGATATCCGATTTATCCGACCTCACGTTCCTCGAACACGGTATCGGTGGAGCCCCGCTCGTTTTCTGTTCCATGTTTGGCTCGAGAGAAAAATTGGAGATGCAGGAAGAAATCGATGTCAACATCAGAAATCGATAAGGAAGGTCCTAAGATGATTTTCTGGTGAGCTTCGGAGAACAGACGGGCGAGCCAGCGGACGAACAAACAAAGTTTTATATAGCTATAATTGACTGAGAGCCGATATGTAATAAAGTGTTCTGAGCGTAAGGCAGTCAACGGAATATATTCATAGGTGTCTGTGAATATTGGAGCACCGATCACGGAAGTACCGAACATTACGTTGTTCCGAATAACCGGTGTAAGCAGTTCACGATGAGGTTAGTGCCGGAGGTGATGGAGACCGAAACGATTGAAGATTCGGAGCTTACGATTATTGGAAACGCGTCACGGGATCCGGTTTTCAGAAACTTCAACCGGAGCGGTATTCCGATATCAATGAGACTTCTCAGTCTCGATAAATCTGAAACGAGAACCAGAAGTTGCTTTCCAATGGTTGATCGGGCTCAAAGACCTCGAGGAAAACAGCGTCGTGAGCTAAGGGCATCTTCGGCGAGCTCACGGTACGTGACATGAGACAGAAGTCGGATATTCTGTCCTCTCGCAGCTTTATTGAACCAGTTTTTTATTTTACAAAGACTTCGGTCTCATTCCGGACACATCGCCGATTTCTATATTAAAAATAAGTCGGCAGAGAGCGATAAACGCCTGCGTGCCTGCCTGCCGAATCTCTCGTCACTCTTCATGAGTCTCCACTAAGAATACGATATGTTTTAAAAATACGCATCCGCGGCGTTCGAGAGTATTTCCCCTACGCCGAACGCTTTGTAGACCGCGAAGACGACAGCGACTCGCTGCAACTGTTGTACAAGGTAAAGTCTCTGGAAGCGTGTTGACGGTTGTTTGTGAGTTTCTTTTAAGACGAAATCGCGGAGACCACGCACGTAATCCAATAGGAATTCCTCCCACTTCAGTGAGCTCACGTCGATGTTGAATTCCTTGCGGTCTTGCTCGCTCAGGTATCCGGATAACCGCTCCAGATTATCGGTTCTGAATGTCCATTGATGCGTCGTGAAGAAAGTGAGGGCCGACTGCATCGCGTTCAGTTTCTCGTAGACCTTCATGAATTGGGGCTGCTTGCCGAGTATTAGTAAGATCTTGTCCCATAGGTAGGCCGGCAGGTAGTGCTCGAAGAGCATCGAGGCTCTGTGGAGCGTCCAGTTCTTGCGGAGTATCAGCGACGGGTAACGAACAGCATGATCGAAGATCACCTTTTCGGCCAGGTCTGACTGGAGACCTTCGAAATCGCCCCAAGTGAAACTCGGCGCGCGATCGCCAATGGCACAATTATAAACTTCGATCTCTTGTGACTTGGTGACTCCAGCGCGCCAAGCGGCGATGATTATGGTTTTAGCAACCACGTCCACGGGAATCAGGTCGGTTCTCATCTGTCGATCCGAGTAGATCGACCGTAGAAATCCGCAGGCGCTCGCACAAATCATGCCACTAGGCCCGTTGAAGTTGTCCACCCAGCCCGGGAACGGTTCCGACATCGAAGCCACCACAATCGACGGTCTCACGATCGTGATTGAGAACGGAACCGTTTTCTTATAGTCCTGGACCATCACTTCGGTGAGGTGTTTCGTAAAGGTATAAGTGTTCGGTTTCTCGGCCAGGAGCTTGTCCTGAACGGCGTCGATAGCGTCGTCGTCCAGCCATTCCACCATCTCCATGATCCTCGCGCTCTCGTATTTGCTATCGTAGATTCGTTCCTCTACGACGTCGTTATCGCAGTTGGCGTAGCAAGTGGAAACGTGGACGAACACCTCGAGTCGTCTGAACGACCGGGCGATGTCGAGCAGTTTCTTGGTGCCGCACAAATTCATGCTCACTGCATCTCGGAGCGGTGCGTCGAAGCGAACCGACGCCGCCGAGTGCACCACAACATTCACGTGTTCTTGGAGCTCGCTGAGGTCCCCGTCGTTGAGACCTAGGTTGTCCATGAGCATGTCGCCATCGACGTACTTGACCTTGGTGAACACTTGCGGGGAGTCTTTCTGGAGTTTATTGAACAGGGCACTCTTGAAGATCTCACTGAACCTCTGCTCAAGCGTCTGACCGCGTTTAGCTCGACCCAAGACGTAAATCGCGCGAACTTCGGTACACGAGCGGAGAATTTTCTCCAGTAACACTTTTCCCACAAAACCGGTGCATCCCGTGATGAACAGTGTTTTCCCGGCGTAGAACTCGCGTACACTGACGTACCCGGCCATTCCGAAACTCTGCAAGATCGACTCTCGTAAATTTCTGCCGCTGTCACTTCGTTTATATTTATCTGGACTTAGCTATACGAAGCCCTTACTGAGCCCTCTCTCAGCTCTTACCTCTGTCGAAAGATTCTGAGATGCGACGGCGGCAGCGGCCATGCGATTGCCAATCCCACGACTGCTGCGGTCAGAACGTGTTGTTGATAATTGTTGTACCGTCGTCGAGAGTAAATATCTACAACGATAGTCGGCTGCACGTTTCCTAGCAGCTCAACATCGGTGCACGCGCATCCCCTCTCTGTGTTCCTTATCGTGCACGAGTCAATAGTAGATTGGACGAAGCTTCAATTACAGAGAAACTCGAAGGATTCTCAGGTGCAGTCCCTGCAGAATTTCGAGCTCGGATCACGAGGGGTGCTCTCCTCATCTCGATCAGTTCCGAGAACCATCTGATCTTTGCATCGTCCACCGTCCTCAGTCTGGCGCTCTCCGTAAGATCCCGGTGCGGAGGCGGCCTCGAGTTTCATCGAAGTATTCTCGCTCATCGTCCAGAAAAACCTTTAGCAGGCCCACGAAATTCAGACGTCCCGAGGTATTGACTCCAATAATTTCGAAAAGGGGAGACTCTCTATCCTTGGATAGGAGATCGAGAAACCCGCCGGTTTTCTGATGTTTACATTTTTTTCGAAATGGCAGCACACTGATTGTGCCAGAATTTCACTCTTTCCGCCCGGAATATGTCTCACTTCATATTTACTTCATATTCCGGTGAATCCACCGGCGAGTTCATTTATGAGAGGGGACTTCGGCATGGGAACGGCTATAAAAAATTCTTCAATGCTCTGCTTTCGTCCCAACGCCAACTGCTCTCTGGGATCTGATGCTCAAATTAGTTCTCGACGCGGGGAGACTCGATTCCCGAAAGTACCCCGCGGGATTCTACGATATGATACGGACTTTGTATTCTGAAGAATGTGATGCCTTAATGATGCGGTAATACGAAACTAATTGTGAGCGTCTGCTCTCCGATAAGACATGTGACTCTCGCTGAGCTTCAGGTGAAGTCTCTGATGGCTTGGACGAGCGATGCGATGCTCCTGATTGGAATTGAGGACTCGACGCTCTGTGAATCCTCGGAGAACCTCGTTCAGAAGTTCATTCAGAACACAGCTCCCATGACATGCAACGAGAATATTCGGCATCGCGGCTATTCCGAAAGTCACAATCGACCGTGCTCTCCGGATATCCCTCATGTACCCCTGTGCAGCGCCGAAGGCCTCGGTATCTGGGACTCAATCGGAATCGGCTCGTCGTAGTCGAGTGAGAATTGATACTATGTTTGCCTCACCGAGCCACATTCCCCTGACTTCGGCTCAGCCCAGGCGAGAAAGATCCGTCTGTGAGGTTCATTTTCGCACGGAGAAGTAGGATCATTCTTATTTGGCGAATCATGCACTCGCGGAGCGGTCTTGAAGCTCCGTCTTCAATCTTGAACATTATCGACGGGATGAAATCGATATTCAATCCGCGGGCTACCCAGTCACGATTTTGTCGAGTCCGGGTCGGATCGCAGGACTTGAAGAACCTGCCCCGCAACCGGGTTGTTTCCTAGGGAGACTTCTTCGACGTGTATGCTGACGATGAACAGAATATTCGATAGGCTTCTCCTGGCTCGGATCGATGTGCGACGTTTCGAGACACTTCGAATCAATCAATCGGAGGTTTCCTGTGCAGGTATTCATTTCAATTAACAACAATCGCAATCAATCGAGCACAAACATCACAAAGAGGAAGTCGTTCGGTGAAGAGATCGAGGTCCTGCTGATACTGATGGCTATTGTGAAGTCGTCGTGACGCATCAGTGCGCTTGCTCTTGCTAACAGCCCTCTATGGAAATGATCAGAACGATAGCGGCACAGTCATCAGAAATCTGACTCAGATCAAGTGTCTAACAGGTCCGGTGGCTGGATCGGAATCTTAGAATTCCGGTTCCGGCGCGGAGGAGGTTAATCGCCAGACGCTCATGCCGAAACCTCGGACTGAGTCCGAATCGACTCGGGGATCATATTCGCGAATTCGTCGGATTTCGGTACACGTGTTGAGAGATCAGCGACCGTCCACGTTTCTCTGCTGGAAGCCGAGTTAGGAAGTCTAAAAACAGGTTCGAAAGAGCAGTTTTGGAAATGACTCGGTCTCCAGAATCAGATAGCAGTGCGGCAACAGAAGATCTTTCTTTTCGTTCTGCAACAGTAATTCTGGATGCGAGGCTTCCAGAACCGACGGGAAAACGGGCCCGACAACGAGACAAATAGAGCACGCTTCTCTCGGACATATATTTTGCATTAGGTAGCCGAGGGCTCGCTGTTCTGGATTAACGCCGGCGATCTTCGCGCAACAGAAAGGGAGGAGCCCTTCTCATCCTCCGGGTGAAGTTATTCCCTTGCACGGTCGCTGCCCAGATGAGGTACCCCGATCAACCCATAGGTGCCACCCTATCGGAATATGCCTTCTTAAAAGAGGTAGCACTCTTAGTGGCGAAAATACGGTGAATACTGAACACCGATCGCCAAGAATTCTGTCTTGATTGCGCTCTCGATCGTCACGAATTTACGAGAAAGCAAGACCGTCCGAATGGCAATCATGCGATCTAGGCGGATGGGAGGGCTCATGAAATAGTCGGAGAAAATCAACTCTCGTGAGATCCTCTGAAGAATTGAATAATATACCGTAGGGTTCTATGCAGTTCGAGTTCGGAGGTCTGAACAGAACAGACATGATGGAACGCTTCTCGGTGCGGGATCGCTCTTCCAAGCGAGGCCACTTGGGGAACCGGGTCAGTGAAGAACATCACTGCGGGTCCACCGCAGAACGCGTCGCCACCCGACCGGAATCCGTGAATTCTCGAATTTCGCGCTGTCTCTAGAATCTTTGGCCCTTGGACATCCTTCTTTCGATCCCATTTCCGCCATAATTGATGGATGACGTCAGCGTTAGTTTTTGATTGGCATCGCGATGACGAACGCAAGTCGGGCATCGTTCTCTTGACTCTAGGGGCTTCTCACACATCTCTTCAACGCATTCGCAGAACTTCGAAGGAGAAGCGCGGGAACTATGCATGCATGATTTGCTGATGGCTAGATATCGTGCGGACTTTCTTGAAACTGAAAGCACGCGATGGGAAGGGTCCATCCTCTCGAGTTTGAGCTCTCATCTGCAAGAACGACAACAACAGGTGAGGCATTGGAAAGTCGCCAACTCTGCACCTTGCGGACGTGCGTGAAGAGCTCAGGCTTATTTTTGTCAGCACTTTGCGTGGGTCGCAGACTGGATCACGGCGCGGCGTCGACTCGTGACGCAATGACAGAATCGGAATCCGGATGGACATCGGTCTTGGTCTTCCCAGAGCGGTTCAGTGGACCAGACTGGAGAGAGAAAGGCAGAAATCCGTCGGAACTTCCCCAGCGACGAAATCCGAGGAGCTTGAACCCCCATCGCAGACGATAATGGTCGTCGCAAATCGTCCGTTAAGAAATCGTCACGATGACAGGGATTCAGCCACTGATACGCGCGGGACGCGCTATCATCTACAGAATCATTGTTTTATCCCGTACGTCTGCCCGGACGTGCTCTAGTTAGGCAGAGTTTATGGCAGAGCCCCTATGGATCACGTTGACAAAAGACATAAATTTTTTTCTGATCTCCTTCCGCCGTCGTAGGTTTCAATTCTCGACCTGATAAGAGGGAACCCCGATTTTCATCGACTGTACTCCGACCATTCTTCAACGTCAATTTGTTCGAATGATCCATCATTCAATTGGTTGAACGACTCCAGAAAACCGGAACATTCCGAAGTAGAAGTGCCGATAAGACGTCAAAGTCATCAGGTGGATGTCACAATGAGTTGCTTAGGATGCATCTGTCGGAAGTGTGGATGACATTGAGAACCTTGAAGTCGTGCGCACTTTGAAAGTCGCTGAATTGATCTGATTGACGTAACGGCAGACACCGGTAGACAGGCTGAAGACTCCCAGCCAGACCGACATGAGTTCGCCCCCGGCGGAGTCGCGGTTCTCGGATGAAATACACCGGCAAATGTACAGATCGACGCCTACCTTGGAGTACCCGACCGCTACGCTTCTCTCACGGAACTCCAGGGATTATAATCTCTCCGTCGGATATTCTCGCCAGAGTAGGTAGGTGGCTGTTTCGAGAGTAAGGAAACGATGAGATCTGGAAGACAAATATTGACTCAGTAAAACCAGAAGATTTTCGAATAATAAACGTTCATTGAACATTTTCACTCAGCAGGGACGCTATAATTCATAATGGTAGATCACTTCGACGGGGAGATTTCTGGCCTACGTCAAGTGCTGATATGGAAATATAATATCGCCTGTGCCTTGTCCCGCAGAATAATTGTTACCCGGTCGCTCGGCAAAGCGTGGAGTTTGCCTGCGTTCAGGCTGGAAGCATGGATCGCGGGGACTGCACGAATTCCGCTAGGGAGACGAATCCGCGCGGAGGGAATCGAGTGGGCTCCTCCGGTTAGATCCAGAACGACCGCGCTGTTCGAGACTACCAGCATCGGGAGAGTTCCACTTGACGTACTTATCACCTCTGTGTGAGATTTCCGTGTGCGGGATCATTACCCGTCGGATTGAAGGGATTTGACTGGTGTCAGCATTGACGGGTAGAATCGGGAGTGGAAATGCAAGCGAAAATAACTCGAAAGATTCCGCTAGCACTCAGTCCAACTCGTTGGGGAGCGTTGCTCTCACCTCGGGACGAGTCTTTTGCGCCGCCCGATGGTGGTGACCATTGGGAGCCCGAGTCGACCTCTCGTCAAGGGATTCTCCCAAGACAAACGGAGACACATCTTTGACAGGCTCGCGTGAGGGTGACTGCGGTCTGGGAAATCCGCGAAATCGTCAGTCTTTTCGGTACGAAGACCAGGACGGTGGAGAGCCATCTCTCGATTCAATCAAATGGGTAGAAGACGCACCCTCGCGTTCCTCTCTGATCGCCCATGGTCTCGGAAATCTGTTTTTTCTCGTCCAATGTCCCCATCCGGAACGCTGGTGGAATGAAAAGGTCGTGACTCCGAATTCGCGAAAATGGGAGAAAAACTGCCGGAAACTCCGCACGACGAAGCATGGTATTATGTAGGCTGTGGCTGCATACCCGAGAGGAATTGCCTTCGCATTTC